GCCCCCCTGGGGCGGGCAACTATCCTCAGCGCCGAGGCCAGCAAAGCCGGGAAGGGCATGCATGAGCTCCTCGTCATCCTCACTCTCACTCTGCGCCATATGCTCTGCTCTTCGTGCCACCGTGTTTCCCCTCCCGTCATCCTCATCCTCTTCTCTTTCCTCTTCCTCCTTCTTCTCACTCTTCCCCTTTTTTACGTGGGAAAATTCTAGTCCTAGCCATCTCCGCGGCTGTTCTTTCATGGTTCGGGTGTAGGAACAGCATTGCTGATCCTGTGCAAACGCATTTTCCAACTTCTGTTGCGTCCACCCGTGCGAGAGTCGCGCCGAGCTATTTCCCTCCTCTCTCTCCACCCTTTCTCCTCCCGCTTCTTTTCCCTCCTCCCTTCCCACCTTTGATGGGACAAGCGGCATTCCCTGCGGGGGATGAGCTGAGGTCGCCCGTGAAGACGAAGAAAGAGCCGCGGGAAGGGAGGAATATCCCAAGCGGGACAGAAGGCAGACAGCCGAGGCATCCCGCTCTCTCCCGTCACCGGCTTTCTCCTCTTCTCTTTCCCTTCCCCTCCTCGTCCGGCGCAGGTTCCCTTCCCCCGGTTGCCCTTGCGCCGCGTCCACCCCTACCTCCGGTCGCTGTCCTAGACTCGATGCCGTGTACTGACTGTGCGGCTGTGCAGGCTTCGGCTTGTTCTTGCTTCCTTTGGGACGCCCGCGACGTCTTGTCGAGGCGAGTGTAAGCGAGGACGAAGGAGTACTGGAGGGAGGGAGGCACAGGGGCAGGGGGGGAGGGGTCGCCTCCTGGGAGCGCAGGGAGGGGAGGGAGGGGGGCGTGGGAGGGGAAGGAAGTGAGAAGGTGGAGGACTGACAAGCGCCAGATGCTGACGAAAGGACGCGTTCCGTCCACTCCTCCGTATCCCCTGCGCGCCTTGTGTGCCCGTCTGATTGATATCTTCCCCCGGATCGCCGGCCTCTAACGTAGCCAAGGCCTGCCAGATCCGACTTCGGTTCGTGCCTCGCTTGCATTTTATATGCATATATTCCCGGGGCACTATGTCTATCAAGAAGTCGAACATATCGCTCAAAGAGATGCCTCTAGCCACGTCGCAGCGCTGCAAGCACTTGCGCCTGTCTTCTTCTGCACAAATATACGCACGATGACTCAGGTCAGAAATGAAGAATTCGCACGCCTTGGCCACCAGACACTGAACCTCTCCCATGACACTTTTGTGCTGTTGTCCATTGACCATGTCCATGCGAATAAAACGACGTAAGCGCGCCTTCGGGAGGGGGACGGATTGCATGTCCGACAGAGCCTGAGCAGGCGTGAATCGTCGAGCGCGGCGGAGGAGCGTGTTCCAATGCACTTCCTCAAACTCGTCCACGCGATGAAAAAGGCGTTTCTGGTAGTCTTGTTCCTGCCATTTATTCCCGTCCATGCTCACATATTGGTCCATGTCTATGTCGGCATCGTCGCCGCAGTGCTCGTCGTCGTTATTGACACTCCTAGTCTTTCGCGCATCTTTTTCTGCCGCGTGTAACTCATCCATTCCTCGACTGTCGGAATCTCCTTCTTCTCCAAACATCGCGTTCTCGTCACTCTTCTTCCCATACGCGTCCTTGTTCCAGCCCTGTTTGGTCTCCTTCGTGTCTTCTTCGTTTATGCTATTCGCAGTCCAGTTGCCTTCCGCTGACCCTGAAATTTCGATACAGACAGGGCTACTGCTCGATGTTTCCATCACTACGTGCTATTTCATGGGACGTTTTTTGCAAGGGGGTCTAGTGTGGCCATAGGGGATAAAAGAAAAGTCAAGTCATCGCTCGGTTTGGGACAATTTTCCATCGTAAAATGGAGACAACCGCAAATTGGGTGGACAATGGAGTTTATACGGAAGCTTGACACACAAGTCTCATCTTCACAAAATTGACTAGGATATTAAATTCCATAAATCTTAAATGAATATGAACTGAAAGATGAAAATAGGCACAGAAAACTTGGCGGCACGTATTTCTCGAGGTCTTCAAGTTCTTCCGCGGGACCATACAGACCCCCTCGACAGCGACACCTGTCCATTGTTGAAAAATGGCCATTTTCGTTTCAGAAATGAGTAAAACTCTTGCCTGAGAAATTCAATTAATTCATCTATAGGCAATAATGTACCCAGATGTAGCATGTCTGTTCGCTTGCACCAATCAAAAACGCGAACATGTGGGTATTGGTCAAGCTGGCTCGGTCAGATGGTGCTCGGCGGTGCCGAGAGTCCGGGGTTTGCTCTTGCGTCCTTCTCGGAATGCCACAAAATGTCCATAACGCGCCATTCTCCTGCATCGGAAAGGACCGTGCATCCACCCATGCTGATTCCATAGCGATATGACCAGCGTTCCGCCCGTTGACAGCACGGTCGTCGTCAGAAAACGGCTCAAGAATTGTTATTAAATGTCGGGGGGGGGGGCGTCGGCGCTCGCTTAGCCACGATCTTCGTTGCCGGCATCGATGTTGTGCTGCTGGATTATTTCTCGTTTATTTTGAAGTTTTCAAGCGCATACACTAATGTCTTGAATGGATACCGTGCGGATCCTACCTCGTGCATACCGCACGTCATCTCTCCTTTGGCTCGTGTTTTTTCCGTGTGAGTTGCTTTGGAGTTGCAGCTTTGCAGTAACAGACAGGGACCAAAGGAGGACGGCCCGCACGACGTCCTTCAACCCGCATCCCTCGCGCCCTCGAACCCGAGTTTTTTTTCCCTTTTTTTATCTTTTTTGCGCAGTAGTTTGTAAATATATGGATGAATGATATTTTAAGTGAGTGGAGGCACAAGGTGGAGTCCTGTACCACAATTTTCACAAAAATTGGCTTTTATTTGTTCCATATTCTAACCCCCTGGCAATCACAGGGCCCCAGAGTGGTTAAGCGGTGTACCGTCCCATTGTCCAGGACAGACACCAGGAGAAGTTTCCAGGAGCTATGAAATATAGAGGCAATAACAGTTTCGAAGGGTTTCTCTTTTTCTTGGCCGTCAACTGGGCGCTTTTGAGTGTACTAGTCTTAGGCACACAGACAGGCCCCTCGGGAGGATGGGGTGCTCGTTTTCAGAGCGTGGGATGCGAAATAAACCCCCATTCTAAGTACAATAAAATGAGCTCCAGCAGTGGATCGTTACGAGAAAAATCTAGAATGTAAGCAGGAGGGTATTAAAATGGAGAGTCTGACCAGACGGGAATCGTGGAGACGAAGAGACTCGTCTGTCGCCGCCAGTCCCTCCTTCAGGAGTGGTGAAATTCTCTGCATTCACTACCGAAAAGTAGCCCAAATTCGAAGGAAAAAGGCCCATTGAATGCAAGGCTCCATGACCTGCACCATTTCAGTTCGTCCCATCCAAACTTTTTGTGTCCTCATACTTTTAGGTTTAATGTGTCCGTAGATCAAGGTAATTATATAAGCCTGCGAGCCTTTTTGGGGACGCTTCCCATAGGTGGGAAATTGCAAGATCTTGTTCGGGATGAAGATGACGCCGACCTTCCTTCTGTTGAAAAATTTTTGGAAGGCCTGACTCTGAAGAGCTTGAAGGAAAACTTGGGGAAAGGGCTGCGGGGGGGCACCGACAGGGTGGCCGCAGCAGTGGATGTAGGGGTGGAGGGAGAGCAGCAGTCCATCGACACAAGGGACGTCCACCAAAGGAGGCTAAATGTGTACGCAAAGGACCAACGGACGTACTTTGATCCCGATGTTTACCCTGACCGCACGTTCGGCAAGCTCATGTTCCCTGCCTCGTATTACTGCACAGGCCAGCTGATAGGAAAACGGTAGGTCGGGTCTGCGGTATGCTGTGTTTTATAAGTCGGTGATGCCTGTCTCTTTGAAATCAGTTGGGGTGCCTCCTCGGCGCCGAGTTTTTCAACGCACATTGTCAGAGTAAAAGAGAGCCTGTGCTCCCTGGGACTAACCTATTCGTTGCCGCCTGGCATTTTCCCTCTCATAGCTACGTTCTAACGGCCGCTCACTGCTTTTATTCTTATGGGACATCGATTGACGGCGATAACATCTACCATTCCAAGTTTCGTGTGGCGTACCACACGGATAAGGAGGGTAAGCACTACTATGCAGCCTCCTCGGCATGGGGACGACTGTGGTACGGCACAACATACCCGGAGGTGTATCGAAACAGCGACTGGGCCATCATAGAGCTGGAGACGCCTTTGGGCGAGACTCAAGGCTACGTCGGCATCAATCCTACGGATTTGACGAGGCAATTGCCCATGTACAATAAATTTTCGCTGATCGGGTACTCAGAGGATGGGTACAGTCAGACCGCGGGTATAGACCCTAAGTGCTCTTTGGAAGACGCGTATCAGGGCGTATATTTTCACAACTGTGACTGCGCTGCGGGAGCAAGCGGCGGTGCCTTGCTCGATGCTTCTTTCAATGTGGTGGGGATCAATACTGCCCACGTCATGCCCTCCAATACAAAACTCTTAAGGGCAAGCGACTACAATCCGACCTACCCAAATATTGCCGTCCCTGCTTACCAGTTCATGCCTACCTATGCGCATATTCTGACGCAGATTGATTAAATGGAATGTTTCATTCACAGTTGAAGTCTACATTTTACGTTTGCATCGTAAACGGGCACCCTTCTGGGTATTGCTATCAATTAGGTAATTCGGGCTGGCCATGTTTCAGCCCCACAATAAATTGAAAGTACTCATTTTGTACATTTATTTGTGGGAACAACTTTATAAGAGCTGCCAGACAAATTAAATTGTGTATTATGATGTGATATGAATCATGTAATGTATAATCAGATTTTTCACACGTATAGGCATGATGCACGTGAACAAGAGATAAGGCAAGGGCATAAAGGCTTAAGGCCAATCGATGAAAATCTTTCGTATGCTCGTGAGACAAGCACACGTGTAGGAAGACGGAATGAGGAAAGAAAACGTGTGCACCACATACAATGGTGGGAGGGAGAATATACAAAGAAATTACACAGGGCAAGATTTCGATACCCTCTAAATGATTTTTTTGGGAGGATGTGTTGGTACTTCCTCTATGCTTCCCGCGCTCGCAAACCCTCGATGAGCCGCCCAATTCAATGGTGTCAGTGCATTCACTTTTACACGTAATGTCCAAGCTGCTATACATGAGTATTTAAGCGTGTTTACAAAAGGGAGCTACCACCACATCTGACAAGGCGGATAACCTCATCAGCTCCATCCTTGTCCCGGGTGGCACCTGGTATTACTCTTACCCCTCTCACCTCCCCTAGAGAAATATTCCCCGTCAATACGCGAAAAAGCCATCCCTCGTTCTCTTTCTCGCTCGTTAACTCTTCAAATTTTGATGCAATTTCTTCACATACTCTCGTATTTTGCTGGTCATCTTCATACAATCCATCTCCCTCAGATCTTCCGCCTTCCTCCCTTTCTTGTCTCCTTCCTTTAAATCCCTTAACCAAGAGGTCCAATAGAGTCAAATATATCAACAACGGACGTCCTCGGACCCGAGCCAGCTGCTTCCCCTCCCGTTCATGTACATCCTCCTTGTCCCCTTTCTCATCTTCGTCATCCTCATCCTCATCCACTCCTTCTTCATTCCAAGCCATAGGTCTTGTATTTGTATCCAACATGTCACCCTCAGGAAGTGCCCGTCGACGTTTCTGAGTTCTACTCCCGTCTCCCAAATCTTTATGCTTCTGAAATCCCCTTGTCTGGCTTTGAAAAGCTCCCGCTCCCATTCTGGACGCATTCAATTCCCCTCCGGCCTGTTGAATGCTCATACTATGCAGATTGCCCTCTCCCTGACAAAGGTGTGCCGAGAGCAGTAGAAGTCGTGCGAAAACTGGACGAGCCGCCTCCCACTCTTCTAGCGAGAAGAACAACACGGCAAACATGGGCATGGAAGTCGAGCCAGCCGCCAACTCCGACAGATCATCCATAAGGGACAGCTTGCCATCTCTCTTGCGTTTCTTCGCTTGCCCGGGTGATGACAATCTCTGTGTTCCTCTCATCGTTGCAGCTACATCAACGCCGCTTGATCGCCACAGCTCTTCTCGACCTGATTCCACTTTGCTTGCATATTCAGCTACCTGCTCTCCTTGTGGAACCTCCGTTTTTGCACACTCCTCCCCTAAGCCGTGCAGCATTTTCTTCCCTTTTTCCAGCCACGCCCACACCGCTTCTTTTAAGACAGATACTTTTCTCCCTTCACACTTCTCCTCGTTGCCTTCCTCCCTTTTTAAGTACTCCGCCATGGCCAGCTGGTAGGGCACTAGCTTTAAGTTGCTTGACAAAGACCCTCCACCGGAGTCTTTCCTCAAGCTATCACCGTACGAAACCCTAAGCAATAGGAAGCGAACGTCATGAGCGACCAGGCCGAGACGAGAGACAGGGGCATGTTGATGAAATGCTTTCAGCCGGGCAAAATGCTTATCGACTGCCTGCGAGAACGCGTCTGGAGACGTCTGAGGCCCTCGTATGGGAAGAAGGCCGTTGGCGCTCACACGAGAGTTCCGAAGGGAAGCACCTTCCCATTCCCCTTTGGGCTGTTTCAGAACCCGATCAGCACGCGCTGCCTCTGCATGGCAGGAAAGATGAATGAGGTTGAAGGCCGAGACAGTGGTCACTAAACGGCAACTGCGGCGAGACCCGGCAGACGAGGGGGGTGAAGAGCTTGCACTCGCCAGAAGGTGACGTCGGCCCCAAGTAAAATTTCGTCCTCTTCCTCCATTTTCTCCTTCTTCCATACCTCTTCCCTCCTCTCCCATTTCTTCCTGTCCAAAAGGTTCAAAAAGGGTGCGTGCGCGTAGCAGAGCGGTCGTCGACAATGTGGACCCGGACGCAGGCACTGCCGCTGTCGTCCCTGACGTAGGTCCTGCCGCAGTCATCCCGGTCGATGCTTCCGATCCACCACTGCTCCGGGAATTATCCCTGCTCAGCATGACAATATCACCCTCCAAAGATGCAACATCGCAAGGGCCAACGCCCTTGCTGTAAATATACACGCCCAAAACCTCGGAGGGTTTCAAAGCCAAGCCTTCTTGACAAACCTCACATGCCAGTCCCGGCTCTTCCGGGAGTCCTTGTAAGTCTTTCAACCAATTCGAGTGGCTCGAAGTAGAAGCAGAAAGCAACGTTTTTGAAATTGCTTTCTTTGTGGCCGACATGCTGGATGGGAGGAAGGAGGCGGTAGACGAGGGCAATGCCGAGAGAGACAGAGACCGCGGACGACGATGACGTGAGACAGAGTCAGAGGACGCTGCTTCGCCACTCAGATGTAAAAGAGAAGATTCAGAGGAGACCGCGGAAGAGGAGGGAGTGACGTTGCCTCCTGCGTCGTCGATTATGATGTGGGCAGCCGCCTTGTTCCCTTCTTGTTGAGAGGCCGCGTCTGCTTCACGCATAGGCAAAGCAATTGATGGACCTAGAGTAGACGCATAACCCTGTGTGATAGAGAGACCCATCGCTGACAGAGTACGGCACCGATTCTGCTGCGCTAGTCTCCGCTTTTGTGCCTTAGTTTTCTTCCGCAAATCTTGAATAGCTTCGCACACGTGTTGCAAAACGGATGGAGATGAGGACAAAGACTCCGGGGAGTTCAATCTAGAGGCGATAGTACCCGCACTCAGAGCATCTTCCAGCATTTCTTCCGCCACAGACCCTGCATGTCCCGCCCCCGTCAGTTCTTCGATGTCATGCAGCATTTTCAAAGCACCTGAGGACAGGAGCAAAGTCCACGTTCCGACGTGACCCCCCCTTGCTAAGCCCGCAAGCACCCGTAAAGCCGGCAAAACTACCGGCGCAGCCAGGCGCACTTTCCATGCTCCCTCCACTCGTTCCTTTCTCTTCAAGAAGTCGCCATGAGACCCACTTTCTTGCACCGCACGCCCAATGCCGTCCTCAATGGGCAACACGCTTTGCAGGGCTTCAAGCGTGGCCGCTGTAAAACCACGCTCCAAGAGTTGATCGCGTATCGTAGTAGGAGCAGACCCTCCCTGTCGACATCCTGTGAGGCCATAAAGTGCTTCGAGCATAATTGTTACTAGCAAGGGGAGGGAGGAGGCGGCAGCGGTCCCCAACTCCTCTTCTTTTTCCTTTTCGCCCGATTTTTGCCGTCCATTTTTGTCTTCCGCTCGCCCTTGCCATCGAACCCAGCCAATCTCCGAGACAATTTTTTCTGTCAAAACGGCACAGGCTTGGATGCGACCGTATGTCAAGAATGGGAGAAGCCTTCCTACGGCTTTGGTCAACGAGGGATTTGCCCGAAGAACATCTAGAATCGCTGTATCCTCCAGGGCGTCCAAAAGTACTCGAACTGTGTCGTCTTCACTGTTTTTCACAGTTTTCTGCCCCTCTTGCCCCTGGAGGGTCGTGCAAGTGCCCGAGTCTTGTGTCCGGTCCCTCTCCTCGTTCTGCATTTCTGCGTGACTTCCATCCTCCCCGCTGCCTAGCTCTTCCACAAGTTGTAACAAAGCCGTTGTTCCCACCCCTCTCCCTCCCCCACGGCGCGACATTCTCAAGGCTGTCAGTAAGTACGAAAGCAGGGTCGCCGGTCCATTCAATCGCAATAAGAGTCTGGAGCGATTTTCGGGGGCTTTGCAGCAAAGCCGCAAAGTCTTGATGGCCAACGATGAAATTTCCCGTTCTTTCAGGGAAGATGAAGGAGAAATGGGAGGACGTACCAGTGTCAAAAGGGCGTGTAAGCCCCCATTGACACTGCCAATCACCTCAATCATTTTCAGCGACAGTGCTGCTGCTGCCGCTTTTTCGTCTTCAGCCTTCTCGTCCTCTAAAGTCTCTACTACCTCCTCTGTTGGCTCTCCATCCACACCCATCAGTCGGTAGGTTACTACCATAGGTGGAAGATTTGCATCACTCAACTCGGACTCCCGCTCTTGTTCCGATTGCACTACCTCTTCTCCTCCACCAACCCCGGCTCCTCCTCTTGACCCACCACCCTCATTCCCCCTGTCCATCCCATACATCTCCGGATGCTTCTTCATCACCCATTCCCTCCACATCCCGGAATAGACCAAACGCAAGGGTAAATTTAAGGAAAGGATTTTCCCAGTCACCAAACACTCCAGGAGCTCCAGTGAGTCAACGATCCCAAGCTCCCTCGCCAACCACCGTCTCAAATCTCTCACCGTCGGCCCCTCCTCCCTTCCATGTATTTGACTTGTATCTTTAGCATTAATTGCCTCATCATCATTTGACTCGGAGACGAAATCCTCGATGTCTTTGGCCCACACCGGATTTCTTGCAAGATTTCCTCGGAAAAAATCGTCTTGAGAGGGCGCGCGTCGAAACTGAATTCGATAGGGCGTATGCGTCCGAGGAGGAGCGATAGAATCCTTCAGGATGCGTAAAAGCATGCAAACCTTACGATGTTTCTGGTTTTTACTACTAGTCTCGGGAGAAGGAATGCCAGAACTTGGACGTAGCAATGTAGGGTTAGAAGCAGTTGTCAGAGAGTACGTATCCATCTCTTCGACTTCCTCCACGAGCAAACTCACGACTGCCGCTATGTAGGCATCTTCCTCCTCCGCTTTACTTCTTAGGTCTGGTGCCGGGGTTGTTATCTGTAGGATATCGTTCAAGGCTACTGTCAGAGCTGGTGGTAGGAACGTCATCGAAGCAAGCTGAAGATCCATGCGCATCAGAGGCACGAGCTGGTCACGGAGGCAGTGCCGACGGATATGCGGATGATAGCTTAGGACAGCATTAAGGATCTGGATAAGCTGGAAAAAAACAACTCCTTGGTTGCTGCTGCTACTATGAGGAGTGTGACGCATATTTCTCAGTACGCGGTTAAGTTCATCCTGTGCCAGAATGCTAATCCAAGAAATGCCACCGCGGACAGCCATGTATTGGGCTATAGGAGGTAAGCAAACCAGATGACGAAGAAGGGAGAATAGCTGGAGGAAGGAGGTATCGGCTTGTCGCTGTGGAAGGAAGGACTTGAAGTGCTGGTTTCGCCACCCGGCTTCTGTCATGCCATTACCGGTGAATATTCGGCTTATATAGGACATCAAGAGTTCAAACAGGCGAATCTGCAGCACAAAAGGTGGAGAATGTGAAGCGAAAGGAGGGGATTCCCCCGAGGATATCCAAGGCAAAGCGGATGCCCGTGTCTTGATTCCACCCTCCCCACCCTTTTCCCGGCTATCTCCTTCCTCATTCTCGCACCCTTCTTTATATCCTTCTCCGTCGACGGACATATCGCTCGTGCTTTCAACTTGTCTTTCAGCCGTTACATTGTTGGTGCTTGGCTTGCTAAGTGGTCGAAATTGCCGCTGTTGCTGTTGGCGTTGGAGGCGCAAGAAATAACGCTTCACCATCTCCAAAAGGTTTAACATGATGTTTCCAGCTTCGACACGCAGAGGAAGCGAATTGGGATTTACAAGAAGGTAAAGCCACCAATCCTCATGTGAAGGAAAATCTTGGAGGGAGGAGGTAAAGGTGAAAGTGTGCAAGGTGGAAGCCGACGCATTACTTTCCTGGTTTCTATCTCCACCGTGCTTGTCGATGCATTTGCTTGCCTTGCTCGCCATTCTGGCCTTCCACTTGAAGAGTAAGTGTGACATCGCTTTCCGCACTCGCTGCTGCCCCAATGTTATCCACCCTCGATTCTCTTTATCGCCTGTGCCATCCTTCGTCCTTTGCAAAAATGGAGGGACCGAAAGCGTCTCATCCAGTAACGATAGCATGAACGTCACACAATTTTCATCAGGTTCACCACCTTCTTTGAACAGAAGCCATCCAAACAGACGAAGGCAAGGTAGCGCAACATGCTCACATATTTGTCGCGATGAGAATGTCAAAGTACTCAAATGGCGGAGTATCAGCGGAAGTAGACGTAGATTATCTATATTTAACCTGCGCGCCGGGGAAGGAGAGAGCGATAAAGAAGGACGAATATCCACATCGGACGACCAGCAGAGTTCTTCAATTAGCTCAAGATGAGGGTTGAGAAAGGAGGTTTCATGCTGAAGGAGCGGAAGGAGTCGGCTGATGGATTGAAGGACGACATAATGTAGCTGATCTTGCAATTGCTTTCCCGCGACCACGCATAGATTCTTAAGCAACATGGAGGTGTTTTTTCGAAGGCTGGCAGGTTTATGAATGGATTCCTCGTCATATACACCCATTAGCAAATTTACCAGCGAAGGTAACGACGGATTTTGTTGCCGTTGTACTCGTTGCTGCAAAGACTGCGCTTGTTGTGTAGTAGGTTGCCAACCCCAAAGAGACCGCATACTCGTCTCATCGTGCTTCTCGATCACAGATGCAACCAAGATTTCTATAGAAATAGCCATATCTACACTACATTCGAGGCAGTGGCAAAGTCCTTCGTCTGGTAAATTTCCTCTCTCATTCGTACCCAAGGCCCCAAACTCCAGCCGCTGCTCGTATCTTTTCAACTCCGCCTCAAATTGCTGTACAAGTCGTGCATATAGGGCACGTTTGTCATGAAATGCTTTCGCACGTGTTGTGTAATACTTTAATGCCGCAGAGGCCTGAATAGATTGGGAGGGAGATGTGGCACTGGCTGGGGCAGTGACTAAGGAACGTGAACGAGACAGGAGTATAGAGGGAACAGAAGATGATGACGAGCATAAACCTGGTAGGGAAGGGGCCGTCAACAAGGGAGGGGCAGAAGAAAGGGCAGGAGACGAAGACTGCAGAAGTGCGATGCGACGATGAATGTCACTAAGTGCTGAAGTTTCTGAAGAATGGTGGGACGCGGGAGTCGATAATGGCAAAGCTGCAAAACTTACACCCCGGATAGAAGAGTCTGTACTCTCTTTGTCGTCTCTCGAAAGTCTTCGGCTTCGTGTTGACGAATCATCGACAGCTGCTGCGGTTTCTACCGCCAAGGCACTTAAAGTATCGGCACGCGTCGTCGAAATTAAGTCTTGCCCTTCCATAGTTGCACGAGCGGAATCAACCAAAAAAAATAGCCGCCCCCCTAGAGCTTCCTTTCTCCTTTCCTTTCTAGGAAACGTATCTAGACGAGTCTCCCTCTCGAGAAGTACCTGTACGTCAGGTAGTGTCGTTTGACTCAGGCGTAGCTGCTCCTCCGCCAGAGATTGTGCCGCTTGCTCGTAAGCATCCCTGATTTTTTCTACATCCTCCTCGGACGCTCCTTCCCCCAAAGTGTGCGTTGCAGGCACAGCCAGTAGGCGGAAGCGGAAATTTCCGTAACCACAGTAGCCACAGGCTTCACATAAGAATGACTCTACCTGTGAGTAGCTCACATGTCGACAGGAACGGCAGCTTGCGATCTCACCACAGGACTGACAGAAACGATGCGCATCCAGGGCTCGCCCACAGCTTGGACAGGAAACGCTTACCGACATTTCTGTTCCTTCTCCTCCACATAAGGACGCAGCAGAGGTCATAATGGAAGAATGGAATTCTCCATATTCTATCCAGAGACTTCCTACTACGGCTGCGACAGGCAAATCAATTTGTGTAGAAGACTGGCCTTTGTGAAGGTGCAGCGTCGCCAGAAATTCCCACTTTCGTCGGTCTACGCCTGCTAAAGCTGCGGAGGATGTCTGTTGTCGAGGTAGGAAATAGAGACGAATCGTTTTGACGTAACGACTGTGCGCGTCGCTTATGTTGAGCTGTATCCGTCGAACTTGGTAGCACGAGCGTAGGGACAGGAAAAGACAGTTCTCCGTGGCCCGATACACGCTCTTTAGGCTTTCCAAAGGCAAAAGTCGGTAGCTAGTCTTGCCTGTAGACATCGACGGGGAAGACTTTGGAACGCAGGAGGAACAAGGCGTAGAGTCCAAATATTTTGGAAGGGGTTTGTGGCCGTTCAACACATGCAATTCTTCGTATATAGGAGCGGCAGGATGGTTCTTTATGCTCCGAAGCTGGGTTTCCAAGAGTAGAACGAGGGTCTCAAAGAAGGGGAGAGAAGCAGAGAAATAGGGGGTATAAGTAGATGACCGAGTAAAAGCCTCTGTCAAGCTCCGGATCTTCGTTTTGTCCCTCTCCGTTTCCAATATAGCGCAAATCGCCTGTAGCAAGTCCGCTGCATCCGAACCTCTGGAAAGGAAAGAAGGCAATAGTTGAGTGATCTGCTCCACACATGTTGCCTTCTCCTCTAGGGGTAACTCGTCCCAAAAGCGCCGAAAAAGGACAGCAGCTATTTCTCTTGTTCGCAGAAATGGGGAATATACTGCCCGATACGCGAAGTCAATCATTGTGTGTGTAGTTAAGAGCCCCATATTCTTTAGCAAGGCGGCGGACTTCAATGCCTGCAAGGAGAACTGTAATCCAAGGCGTTTGGGCACCAGGGTACCTTCCTCGATCACAAACTCGTCGTTGTCGCGGTCAGGGTCCGAAGCATCGGAGCCGATCCGACCATTTCCTTCCTCTGCACACTCCCGGATCTTGATACGCTCCCCGTCTCCATCCTCGTCGTCTTCTCCAATTTCCTCGAAGCAGTCGTGGTGCAGAACAGTGTCTCCCTCGTCCTCATCCTCCTCTTCTTTTTCCTCCTCTTCCATACACTCTTCCTCTTCGTCTTTATCTTCCAGCTCATCCTCACTGCCGCTGCGGTCTTCCAGCTGCCGCCGGCTTTGTCTTCGCCTTCGCAGCAATGATTTTTTCGTTTCACCACTGTTGTTACTATCGCTGCTATTTCCGCTGCCAGTGCGCGGTCGGGCCCGGAGAGACGCAGCAGCTGCAACACGAGATCGTGTCACTTTGTACGAGAGGATGCCATCTCTCCAATTTCCCTCCTCCTCCTCCTCCTCCTCGTCGCACGCTTTCTTTGACTTGTCATCCATCTCATCTCTAGCGATCCTTCGCGTGGGCGACAGAGTCATGCCTTTTTCCCCTTCGCTCTCGCCTTTCTCTTCCCCATTCATCTGCTTTTTAAGGGTTTCCTCCGTCGCCAACTCAAGCAAATGTAGAGCCATCAGCTCTTCTTCATCGCCCCCGCTTAGCTTACTAATCAGAGAGAAAATCACGTACAAGGGAGGCTTCTCTTCAATTTTTCCACGTTCTCCCTCGGTTCTCTCTTCCTTTCCCTCATTCATTTCTGTCCCGCGCTTTAAATCGCAGTTCGTATTTGTGCTCGCCGAATAAGAGAAGGGGAAGGAGTCGAGACACGAAAATGCTTGCCAATGCCTCGGACACGTTACGGCACCCTTAACAAGCCTGGAAAGGGAGCGGTGTATTTCCACTTGTTTCGAATACGGCAAATTACACAGACGCACGGGCCACTCCGATTGTACCTTCCCCCTCTCATACGGTACCTGGCGTGTGGACTCCACACGCAGAGTGTCTATCGCGTGATACCAGGCACCAAGTTCTTGCGAGAAGCAATAAAAGTCTAGGGTGCGACGGTAGACTGAGGGACTCGGCCCACACAACACCCTTAGAAGACCTCGGGCACTCCGTTTTAAGGTCGCCCACGGGGCCGCGGTCTTTGCTGTGTCTTTCCGCAGAGAGGACAAGGAGGGCAAAAAAGATGCACTACAGAGCAGATCGCAAAGCCAGCGGGCCCAAGATGGATCCCAATCGAGATCATTGGTATTCTCAGAGGAGGCTTTGCACGCGACGGCAGGAATGAGCGAGGGTAAAAAAGGCGGCTTTTCCGTTGAAAGGCGACCTACGGCCGTCAGAAGGTCAAACAGGGAGGCAAAGAAGAAGGGGTTGAGGTCCGAAACCCGGAAAAATACAAGAAACCTCTCATTTTCCCGATGTTGCCATGTCATCGTCTCCGCTATTTTCGGATACGGCCACAAAGCATCCCACTCAATAGGTGCTCCCACACCATCTACTCCCGTGGTCTTCATAGCACTTGCTTTGTTGTTGACCAAGTCCTGCTGCACCTTTGTCACAGATGATTCACGGCCAAGCACCCAATTAGAGAAAAGCTGGCATATCTGTCGTTCCATTTTCGATTTTCCTTTCGGACCGACAGCGGTTGCGACCACGTCTTGCACCGAAATAGATACGCCATCAGTATTGCCAAATCTCTTACAAAGGTATGCCAAGGCACGGGACAGTAGAATGCTGATTTTGCTTGCTGGCGAAGGCGCCATCAAAAGTTGCTGGGTCTCCTCTATCAGCTTCGAAAGGGCCATGCCGAGTGCGAATGAAAGGGAAGTGGCAAGGCGTCTTCCATGGTTGCTCCTTAGGATCTCGGCGTTCTTGAGGCGCGAGCGGCTAATAGCAGTAGTAGGTACTAGCAGCGTAAGCAGCAGTTTGACGTAATTCATGCACATCTCATCGGTTGAGACCACTTGATTCATACTCTGCATTTCTCCCCCGCCCCATGTTGCCTTCCAAGTTTTGTCTTTTCTCTCCTTTTTACCGCTCTTGAATACTTCATTCCTACCGCACAGTACACGGCGAAGGACGTGTGAAAATCGCAGCATTATACGATCAAAGAGTAGGAGAAGGAGGCGGTCCATCCCTATCCCAGAATCTACTTCTGAGAGCGGGGGGCTTGTAGATATCTCATCGTTCCCGTCCTTGCCTTTGCCAGCGTCGTCGCTACCTGTTACCGCCTCCATCTCTGCAGACCTTGAACTCTCTTTCAAACCACCCTCCCTATCGGCTTTTTTTGCCCAAGATCTTTGGGTTTGTCCGCTCTGTATCCCGTTCTTTGAAGAGTTGTCCCTGACGATTAAATCCTTTTCTTTGGGCCCCTCTTGAAATGTATCCTCTATCGTCACATTTGGCCTTTTCTCTTTTCTACTGTTGTGAGTCCCTATACCTTCACCCTGCCCGGGCATGAAGACCATGCGATGCGTGGATACGTGCCCCCTTGTATTTTCAGGATTTAATGAGTAACAAGCAACACAGAGATCCATGTCGACACAGACCGTGCAATGAAAGCGTCCTGCTGGTAAAGGATACGCCGCACAATGGTTACAGGAGTACTGAAGAATAGGAATGGACGTCAAACGAGATGACAAAGCAGAAGGCAGGGAACCCCTGATCTTGCTGTCGTCCTCAGAAGACGTTTTTGACGAATGGGAGATAGCTCCCCCGCAACCTGTCCGGGACAGGGTAGACTCCGTAGCTCGGAGCGAGGAAGGGATCGACGCATCCACATTGCGAATTCCCTCCTGCTTGCCTTCCGGAAGCGAGCTTATGCCTTCCATTTGATCCTCTCCCCGGTGGATTCGGATAAGTTGCGCGATGCCAATGCCCAGGGCGTTAGAGACCTTCGCATCAGAACTATCTAGAAACCGAATGAGTGAATCAACGGCCCGTGACACAGCTTTTGCCTCTACACAGGGTGGAATTAACGCGAAGGTATCGGGAAGGCTCCCAGGCGAGGGGATAGGCTTCGCAGAGGATACAGTTCCCTTCAGATTCATGGCCACCTCCTTCAAGCCAAATGCTATGACTTCACGAGCTAGGGTGCAGCGCTGCTCTCGTATATCGTCCTCTTTGCATTGATCCCTTTCCGTCTTGATTATCCTTTGCACATGCTTTACCAAAGAGATTGTCCACAACCTACCCCCACCTGCATCTTTCCTTTCCCCATCTCCGCCTTGGTCCTTCGCTCCGGTTTCGTCCCAGGACTTCCAGCCAATATACAGGTTGTGCGGTCGCTTGGTCAGAATACTTCTGAGCAAGTAAAGTATGGCACTCAGCTCACAGGATGGTAAAAAAGGGGAGTCAAGTAGGATCCGAACACGGAAGAGGTGTGTCGCGTCCTTGAGCCCATGATATTGCATATCCTTCTCCGCCACCTCGGTAGTCGGTTCATGTGATTTTCCTATCGTGTGAGAGGGAGATAGCCCACAGAGTCGGCGAAGGAAGTCCTTCGCCATCCCACGCACGGCATGATGGTGTCTTCGTTTGCTGGACGTGCCCCAAGTAATCCCAAGCGCCACCTGCGCCGCCTGCCTTCCTGCTCTCCGTGCACAAAGCTTCGCATATTCCAAGTGACCCTCTTGTGCTTCCAATTCTTCCTCTTCATCCATGGGAACGGCATTGCAGCCCTTGATACTGCTACACATGCTTGCTTTCACCATCAAGACACGCAAAATTCCCGAAAGCGTTAGTTCCCACGGAGCAGTGCTCGGCTCCGACCGCATCCGCCATTCCTCTCTCGATGTTTGAATCCCTCTCGACGTCGAAAACAAACCCTTTTCACATGTGGAGGGCGGACTTCTCTGTAATGGTTCGTAGCTCCTTGCATCCTTCGTTCGCCTTTCCCCTATGTCGAGCTCTTCCAGGCAGCGACCGTACAGTTCTACTGCGTCCAGGACTGGGCCCCTCGCGTTCGTCTTCTCCTCTGACTGTTTTCCTTCTTGAACGCCGAGCAATGACAATGTTACCATTCTCGACCGAAGTACCAGCAACATCTCTTCCTCCGTCAGCATAAAATCGTACCAGCGCGCCAATGAATGGCCTTCCGGCATCCCTTCCCTGTCTTCCGTATCATTCTTCTCTACTCCACACTCTGTCGATCTGTACTGCGGTACTACGGTAAGGCGGCGTTGCCCGAGAACTTGAATCAAGCGCGGGATGGTAGCAGATCCAGTCAATCCAACAAGCACGCGGACGTGGGTAACCG